GTAAAATTCTCCTTAGCATGAGCTACAGAACCCTTTCAAATATGGTCCCTCCTGCCTCAGCCACAGAAATAATAATGTGTGCTTTCCATGACTGGGTCCTCACAGGTGTTCTGAGTTTCTAATCTCTCATATCTGATCTCAGTTTATTTTGTCTAATATTATTTTTACTCTATCTCAGTTTCTACTTGAGCTCAAAGAAACTATCTTGGATCATAAATATTTCCTTAAGGGGCCTTACCTTCTTCTGCCTTCAACACAAGGACATAAGCCTTTCCTAACTGCTCTAAGCTGTTCCTTCTGCCTTAATTGTTTTCTGCTATTAACTAGTGTTAGCATTTACCTCCTTGCTGGTATAATAATTGGTTACACATCTGTGTTCTGTGCTAGAACGAGAGATCTTTGAACTGTGTGAGGTTCTTATAACAATTTTGTTTTTCTTTGGGCGTGTTTGCGTGTATGCATGCATGTATTGTGAGTGTTTATAACTGTTTATAATGGATTATGACTGTTCGCTGAATGGACAAATGAATGAGTACATGCATGGCAATTTAGCATCATACTCTGAGACTACTGGCCCCCAGTTGATTTCTTCCTCTAATGGAGAAACAGAAAACTTAATTTGGGGGGCACCTGGGTGGCACCTGAGGGTCTCACCTGAGGGTCTGCCTTAGGCTCAGGTCATGATCCTGGGGTCCTGGGATGGAGTCCCACATCGGGCTCCCCACAAGGAGCCTGCTTCTCCTTCTGCCTGTGTCTCTGCCTCTCTCTGTGTCTCTCATGAATAAATAAATAAAATCTTTTATTTAAAAAAACTGTATTTGGTTAATAATTTTGGCTCCAAATAAGAAAGAAATTTTCATCAGTTTAAGTCACTGACTGTGGAATGGGCTGCTAATGGGGTGAGGACGTCATCACCCCTGGAATTGCTTAAGCAAAGGTGCATGTTGAAGGAAGCATTTCCACAAGTGACAGGAGGTTAAAAGAATATCTCTTTAGTAAGATTATTTATCAGGTTGTCCCCCACAAAGAATTTTCCCATAGGTATCTCAAGCCCCTCACCAACCTCTCTCAAAATGCCAGGACATCTCAATGAGATATTTGCCTTCTGGGTGCCTTAGGAAAATGGCGTTTTCTGAAAGAGTAGGTTCTGGAAACCTTCAATATTAGGGAATTATGAACTCTTTTATATGCAGACTAGCAAAGCCTGAAAGAGTATTTGGAGAACTTATAGAGTGCATTGCCAAAATTGATTAACTCAAGGAACATTTACAGAGCATCCATATGTAGGGTACTCCTTTGGTCAACAGAGCATAGAGATGACTCTTTTCCATGAGATGAAATGAATGCATTCAAATAACTATGCTCCCTCTTCAGTCTCCTTTTTTAAAATTAACCTTTGTTTGGATATAAGTATATTACTCTTCAGGCCTGCATGATTTTTCATTTTTATCTTAATTGTAGATTCCTTAAGTATGCATTTGTTTGTGTTGGAGCTTCCATCAGGCAGTGGATACTCATTGTAACTCTCTGTTGTTAGGCAAGCTATTCTCTAAGGAATATATTGGAACATGAGCAGAAACAAAACAAAACAAAACAAAAACAACAGTTTTCAATCAAGTGATCAGCTTAGCTGAATTTCTTAATTTCTAGGTCATTCTTAATGAATTTCTGGGTAATTCTTAACAATTTTGCCTATGAACACACCCTAGTGGTTGAGGTGTCATCATGGTATGAAATAGAACAGAGCAGCATAGGATATAAGATTTGAGAACATTTTCTGGTGGCTCTGCGAAGAGTCATGAAGTCCCAAGTTCTCAGGCTTGAGAAAGAAAAGAAGCAAAGGCCACTTTTTTTAGATTGGTGAAGAGTCTTGCTCAGATTGGTGTCCTGCCCTTGTCTCCCAGGCTACTAGGGAACCTACTTCTCTTGATGGCATGGTCTCTGAGGTAGGCATCAGGAGACATTAGTCAATGTAACTTCAGTTCAAGTTTAACTTACATTCAAATTGAATCTCAACTTTTTAGCCAATAAATAACTATGCTCCCACTTTTTCAAGTCTTTGAATTGGGAATCAATTCAAATCAAGGTGGGGAATCAAGATAAGGATTCCTGTAAGAGAGGGTTCCTGCCCTTGAAGACATGATCACGTAGTCAGAAAGCTAAAAATCTGAACATGTGAAAAATGACAAGAAGTGATGTGAAAGGTTTTACTAAAAATACCCAAACCACTGAAGTTGAGTGGTAGGATACTTCCAAGATGAGTGGGATTTGGGGAGTTGGAGCCACTCTTGAGGCTCTTACAGAAATGTTAGAAGTAATCTCAGAGATTCACAGATGCAGAGCTTGTTGAGTGGCATATCTAGGCTGGAAATATATGTTGAGACAAAAATGTCAAGGGCTTAATGTCAGGTAGACCTGCCAGGAAGAGATAGTGATAGTTACTCAACAACTGAGTGAAAATACCAAAGGAGGGATCCCTGGGTGGCACAGAGGTTTGGCGCCTGCCTTTGGCCCAGGGCGCAATCCTGGAGACCCGGGATCGAATCCCACGTTGGGCTCCCGGTGCATGGAGCCTGCTTCTCCCTCTGCCTATGTCTCTGCCTCTCTCTCTCTCTCTCTCTCTCTGTGTGTGTGTGTGTGTGTGTGTGTGTGTGACTATCATAAATAAATAAAAATTAAAAAAAAAAAGAAAAAAAGAAAAAGAAAATACCAAAGGAGTATTTGAAATAGATCAAAGCTGGTGGGTTTTTTGTTTGTTTTTTGCTTTGTTTTGTTTTGTTTTGTTTTGGTTTTGTTTGTTTGTTTTTTTGTTTTTTGGTTTGGTTTGGTTTTGTCTGTATAGAATTGAGGGAGTGAAATGGAATGCCAGTCACTCAATTAGGGGGTCATGGTATTAATCCAAATGTTTGAAACCCCCTGATTCAGGGTCAGAAAACAGAAGAAAGGTAGAGGAAGAAGAAACCTATTATAAGACAATTGTCAAAACAATTAACAAGTGATCAGCCATTCAGGAAAGAAGGAGCAGCAACAAGTGGACTGTGGTTTTGAGGCCTGACAATCAAGACAATCCTGATGCCACTGCAGAAGGGTGGGACAAAGGAAATACTGGATCAGGAGCCAAGTTTTAGAGCTGGGTTCTATGAAATGAATTGGGTTTGAGTCAAAGTAATTGAAACAATTCAAGAAAAATGAAAGTCTAATATTTGAATAGAATTCAGGGATGAAAGATAGAAAAAGTTATTTCCAATATGCAAATGCTAATTGACATTGGGGAATGAATTAACTCTCTGAGAAGGAGAGTATAAAAATGTAGCTTAGAGAAAAAAAAAGGTCTGAACTCTGATGAATACCTCCAAATTAGGAGAGCAGGTGTAGGAGACCAGGGAAAAAGATAAAGCAGAAATGGCCCTAAGAATATAAGAAGCTCCCCCACCTTAGTATCTCAGAGCCAAGGGAAGAAAGCTCCAAGAAGCAGAGGGGGTTGATATTAAAGGTTTGGAAAATAAAAACTGGGAACCAGCCCCCAAGGTGTTAGAGATGGTGAGAAGGCAATTTGCTGATTAGGGCAAGATAAACTTTCAGATTCGCTCATCCATCCTGGAATTCTGTAGGTCGATTAAAGACTGAGCCAGGTTGTGACAGAAGGAGGTCAGGCTGCAGGTGCTTCATTATATGGTAACTTGAGCATGCCCCAGTGAAGGCACATCCTGTACTTGGACATTTCTATGTGGAATAAAAAATGTCACACAACAACCTGTGGAATCTGTCCCATGAGTCTTAAACCAAGTGAACTCGGAACATGACCTGAAATACTGTCTCTGAGTTCATTTGCACTGTCTCCTTCTCAAATCAACCCCACGTTGCCCCCTGTATCTTCCACAAACTTCCCACATCTGGGGATTCGGCTGCAGATTCATCAAATCAAATCACTTACAACTCAACAAACACCTAGTGAGTGCCTGTACATGTCTTGAAGCACTCTCCCAGGTACATGGGATTGAAAGAACCTAAAAGGTGTGGTCCTTGCCCAGGAAGAGCTCCAGTTGAATGGAAAGGCTCACACAGAAGAGAAATATGGAGAGAAGACACCTGGAAGGCACAGATAAGGAAAAGCTGCTGGGAGTGACAGTCCAGGTGATGAACGTGCATAGACCACTCCTGAGAGACAAGAGCAATATGATTCATCCATTCATTGACTCTTAGGCTTGGAAGGGAGCTTGAAGAATAGCCAGTCAATTGGCATTTGACTCCTGAGACTACATCTGATTACTGCTGACACTTGAGTATCTCACTGTGCATTTTGTCAATGGATGTCTGTGATTCCCTTCCACGGAACCACAGAAGGGCAGCGTTAGAAGGCCTTATTTGTAGGCAATTTCACCCAAGCTGCTCACTTCAACGCTGTCCCACATGAACCTGTAGTCATCTCTTTCCTACCATGTGCACCTAGGCAGTGAGCAATAGAGAAAAATGGCTGCAGGTTTCTCTCAGTTAGTTAATCTTGCTCTAATTGAATCATATATTTTCTAAAAATAATGCTTGCCTGTATTATAAGTTATTTTAATTGTGGTTGGGGTTTTTTGTTGTTGTTCTTTCTTTTAAACAGCTTATACTTAGAGCATAGCTGGTAAACACAGGCTGGCCTGTGTGTGGAACAGTGATTGCCTGCCAAAGGTATAACCACAAACAGATGTCTAATGTAAAAACAAAACAAAACACGAAAAATTTTAGGTTTGATTGACCTTCCCAAATTCTAAGCTGAGAGACAATCGCATGATAGTTCTTTTTTTTTCACTGCACATTTACTTTGTGCAGAAAAAAAAAAAACCCTCATCTCCTAAAACTTCCTACCACATATAATAAGTAGACAAGCAAGCAGAAGAAATCCCACTATTTTAGAGACGGCCAGAAATTAGCCTGTTGGTGCGCCTGAGCATAATTGCCAAAGCAAAGTTCCTCCTGCCTCCAGTGATGTGGAGTGAAATTTTACTCACACTTACCCAACCGTGGCGGCTTCACCATCGTCTGCCACACCAGCTCAAGGCAGAAGAAAATCTCCACCAATTGACACATCAGAACTTGGCACCACTCCTCAGGAAAAGATGTAAAAGAAAGCACAACAGCAAATAATTGCTCTTGCGTCAGCTCCCCTCATAGAAGCCAATAAACAGCCAAAACAAATGTTGTCACTTAAGGTACTTCAAGCAAGGGAAGAAAAAATGTCATCTCCATCCAGCTCAGGCTTCCTTGTAACATGAGGGAAATTCAAATCAAAACAGGCTCTGAGGAACTGACTGAAGCCCAGCCTACTGAGAAATTTTGGTTTTGCTTTTAAGCGTGGCTTCTGTGCCCTCAGAGACCCCTTGAACTCTGTCCCTGTGTCCCTGAAGCTGGTGCAAGCTCAGTGGCAGGAGAAGGGAAGGGAGAGAACACCAGCACATTCTAGCTCTGCACCAGAAACTTTACACAGGTACCTTTGTGAGCTTCCCAGTGCTCTCCTAAGAAGTTATCACAAACTGGGTGGCTTAAAGCAACAGACTGTGCTCACATTTCTGGAGGTGAGACATGTGAAATGAGGTGTCACAGGCCACACTCCCTCTGAAGGCTCTAGGACACAATGCTCTCTTGCTCCTTCCTAGCTTCTGGCAGATTCTGGCAAGCCTTGGCAGTCTCCTGGGCTTGTAGCAGGAGAATGTACTCCAATCTCTATCTCCAACCTCAAATGACCTTCTTCCCTATGTGTATCTTTGAATGTCCTTTCCTCTTCGTAGAAGGACACCAGCCACATCCTAAGGACACAGTGCCCGCCCTAATCCAGGATGACTCCTCTTAACTAATTATATCTGCAAATACCCTACTTCAAATAAGATACAGATTCTGAGGCTGCAGGTGGACATACATACTTGAGGAACATTATTTAACCCACTACACTACTCTGTTTCATTCTTGGAGCAATGCGTGGTCTAGACACCATTAGGCTCATTTTACATATAAAGAGAGAGTTGAGGTCTAGCACCCCTTCCTCAGTTGCATGGATGAATTTGAACTCAGGCCTCTGTGGTCTTACTACATTGTGAGGCTTTTCAGTAGTAACACTCAAAGCAGGTGCAGGAAAGGCCAATTTGAATGCAAGTCTGGATGACCCATCCTGTTGCTATTGCCACATCCCCTTGGGCTCATAGGGGTGGGATGCGCAGGGACGGGGCTCTGAAGCTCAGATAAGGCATGCTTTCTTAGCCATATCTCCCTAATGCTTTCTTTCTTTTTTTTTTTAATTTTTATTTATTTATGATAGTCACAGAGAGAGAGAGAGAGAGAGAGAGGCAGAGACACGGGCAGAGGGAGAAGCAGGCTCCATGCACTGGGAGCCCGACATGGGATTCCATCCTGGGTCTCCAGGATCGCGCCCTGGGCCAAAGGCAGGCGCCAAACCGCTGCACCACCCAGGGATCCCTCCCTAATGCTTTCTTGTCCTCTCTCCATGCTTTGCCTTTAATTGAGCTTCTTCTGAAAAAGCAGTGCTCTCCTTTCCTCCTTGTTCTTTTAACTGAATCCCTCAAACAAGAAGGAATGAAACTTGTATTGGCTACAAATGGGACTGGCTGCCTAGACCCCAAAGGTGGGGAGGGGCTGTCTGTGGGAAGCCAGCCTTCCCCTGGGGCCACTTCTCCATGTAGAGTCAGGGCAGATGGCTGCTCTTACCTCACCTTTTTCAGCTACTGTGATAGTCTGAGGAATGGGCATATGTCCCCTGTCTGGCCCTCAGAGGTTAGTATCTTCAGGACCCCCACATCCTCCACCAGAGTCTTGAGGAGGGAGCCACACTCCTCACTGTATCCCTTCCTTTGTCTGGTCTAAGCTCCTCCTTCTCTGCCCACTTCATTCCTTGCTCTGGGCTCCTCTCTGTACAACTGAGATTTAGGAACAGACTCAGCTTAGACCAAGGGAAGGCCTGGGTGTTTTGACAACAGTGTCCAAATAAAATTCACACTGATTTCTCTGCACATTTGCTTGGCTCATAAATCCATATGCCTCAACAAAATACCAGAGGGGTAGATACCAAAATGTTAACAGTTTCTGGGTGGAGGACTTGCAGGTGATATTATTTAGTGTCGTCTTTTTACTTATATTTTATTTCCTAAATAATTTATCAGAGACACAAATGATTTTTTGTAAAGACATAGAAAAAAAATCTTTAAAAATCAGTTCAATTGCTAAGCAACAGCAACAGGAAAACATTTGAAGAACTTGGCCAAGGGGTTATGTGTGTTTCCAATTTATTTAATTTAGCATTGTACCCTTTATAATAGAAGATCCTGGAAAGACCTAGCTGAATTGTGTGTGTGTGTGCATGCGTGCACACGTGTACACATGTGCAGGTGTGATTAGGCTACAGATCACTCTGTGTTGCACATATTTGGTAATGGAAAATTAGAATTTAGGTCATAAATATTGCAATATGATAAGCATAGTAATAACCTCACCAATGTACACCACCAGTCAGTGTTAATTATTTCTGATCCAAAAAACAAATCTAATCTTCCCCATCCTGCTTGGCCTTATAGAGAAAAAATAAGAGAAGGCAGCCTAAGAGTGAGAAAGAAGGGCAGCCAGGGTTTTGGGGAAATGAGCAAAGATCAAGAGCCCAGGAAAGGGTGAGAACTGCAAGGAGCCAGCAGGTTATCTGGAACCAGCCTTAGCAACCTCCCCAAAGTCAGCAACCAAGGTCTTGATGTGGGTTTATCTGGAATGTGATGACAGCAGATGATGGCTAGCCCCCTCTTGAAAATGGAGAAACTCATAGGCAGCTGGAGACAGAGAGGGAAGAGGAAACCGGCCTTCCCTGGTGCATGACTGACCCAGGGACTAGAGATCAGCCTGGTGATCCCATAGGAGTCACACATGTGGCTTGGATCCCATCTGATCCCTGCCTGCGAAAAGAGGGCCTAGCCTTAATGTGAGGGAAGGGAAGGTGAGATGGGGGTGTTCTGGCCAGAGCAATAATGGGTGTTGGTTTTAGAAGGAAAGAGGTCAAGCTTTGGCTAATTCTCTGAAAGCAACTCAGATAAAAAAGAGGTTTGTTTTCAGTTGAATGGGTTGATGGGAGTTATGGATAAAGTACTTTCCTGTCCCATTTCCACCCAGCTGACACATGGGGACAAAAGCACCTGGGAGACAGCTCCTTGTGGAGAACAAAGTTACTGAAGTCACAAAGGTCAGATTCAAGAAGGGAAGTCTCTGGGGTACAGAGCTGGGAAATGAGGGTGGAGGATGGAGGAGTGGCAGAGGCTGAACTGTCCACTAGCCTTTCTAATGTAGAATACAGAGAGGGGTTCCAGAGACAAGGAGAAGGAACTTCCAGGGACCTGAAGAGAATGTCTTCTGTTCTCTTCCCCTCTTATCTATGGGGGAAAGAAAAGGATGCTGGATATCTTGAGGCTTGAGGGTGCTCTTAATAAAATGTGACACCTGATTCTTGCCTGGAGTTTCTGAAGGTGGGAAGGAGGTTTCCTGAAGGACCCCATGCCTGGGTGTGGGGAGGGCTGTTGGGTTGTTTTCAGGGCCTCATCCCAGGCCCTGGAGCCCTCAGTGACATCAAAGACTCCAGGGTTCCTGTGTCCTCAGGGGACACAGAACGGAGATAAGCCACAGGCACAGGGGTCCTAGGCTCTGATCAAAGGCCACTTACTGGCCTGAACCAGACCCAACCTGGGGGTATTTACCTCTCCCACTGCAAGATAACTAAACTACAGGTTTACCCTATTCTGGGAGTAGGGGGACAATAAAAAAGGATATGAGATTGGAATTTCAAGTGGGACTGGACCGTGGCAGTTCCCCTAAATGTTAACCTAGAGTTATTGTATGACCAAGCACTCTTCTCCTAGAGAGGAAAATAACCAAGAGAAAATGAAATACGTATCCATACAAACACGTGTACCCCAACGTTCATAGCAGCGTTATTCATAGCCACAAGGGGAACGAATCAATGTGCAGCAGCTGATGAATGGATAAATACACTTTGGTGTACCCATCCAGTGGAACAGCACTCAGCCTCAGAAGTGAGCAAAGTACTAATTCCATCTGCAGTGTGGATGAACCTCTAGTGAAAGAAGCCTGTCTCAAAAGATCACATGTCGTATAATTCCATGGATATGAAATGTCTATGATAGCTCCTAGAGCCAGAATGTAGTTAGTGGTGGCCTAAGACTAGGACTAGGAGGGGATGTGTTGGCATGACTGATAAGGGTATATATAGGGTTTCATATGGGGATGATGAAAATGCTGTAAATTTGATTGTAGTGGGGCACTGGGGTGACTCAGTGGTTGTGCATCTGCCTTTGGCTCAGGTCATGATCCCAGGGTCCTGAAATTGAATCCCACATCAGGCTCCCCTCAGGAAGTCTGCTTCTTCCTCTGCCTGTGTCTCTTATTCTTTCTTTATGTCTCTCATGAATAAATAAATAAAATCTTTTTTAAAAAATTGTTGTAGTGATTGTTGCACAACTCTCTTTATATACAAAAAACTATTGAATGGTACACTTTAAATTGGTGAGTTGTATGGTATGTGAATTTTACCTCAAAAAGTTGTTAAGTGACCTGGCTCTGAACTGAGTTATAAGTGACCTGCAAATTATGAAATTGGACTGAAAAATGATGAAGCTCACTCTCTACCCAACAGGTGGGGGATGGAAGGATGGATGGGGAGGCAGAGGGCCTCTTCAGCCATGTAGCCCACAGAAGCTCTTCAGAGATAAACTAAAGAAAGCAGCAGAGAAGAAGGAGACAGCCGTGACAAATTCTGGTCCTCATTCCGGTCCTTTTTGCAGTCTGGCCTGTGGTTTCACCATCAGGTTTGCCTAGCCAATGGAATTAACCATTTTTGCTCAGGTGTCACATCAGACTGTTCTAATAACACAAAGGAGCAGAAGAGCCTGAGGTTACCTTACTGCTGTCTGCTGACACAGGCCGGGTATCATTTGTAGCGTGGTTGAGGGGAGGACAAGGTGGAACTAAGGAACTAAATAAGCTACACGCATCCCAATGTTGCTACTGTTTCCTGGTCCTGGCTCATCTCTGGGAGGACAGAGGGAGGCAAGACTGACTGTTGGCTCACTCTAAGATGCACCTGCAATGCTCCCAATAACTGGGATCCCTGGGTGGTGCAGCGGTTTAGCGCCTGCCTTTGGCCCAGGGCGTGA